GTTGCTTCTTTGTCCCCAATCCATCGCAGGGCCCAGTCAGCTTTCTTTTTAACACAAGGTAGTGTTTCAATGGCATTGAAGAGAAATTCCCTAGGAAATGTGCATAACATTAGGAATCAAAGTCATCTTTCTTCAAATTACAAGCTTTAATAAAGAGGGACAACAAATGACATTGACCTCAGAAACGATAATGTAAACCTTAATATGCTAAAACAATAAGAGTAACAGCTAGCATTTTTATAGCACTTTTAAGATTTGCAAAGTGCTTTACAAATACTGTCTCATTTTGTCCTTATGACAATCCCATTAAGATAATAGTTATAAGGTACTTAGTGTCTGCACATAGTAGGCCATCTCCCCCCCCCTATAGATAAGCAAACTGAGGCAAAACAGAGGTTAAGTGACTTGCCCAGAGTCACAGCTAGTGTCTGAAGCTGGATTTGAACTTGGGTCATCCTGAGTCCAGCTCCAGCACTCTATCCACTGTGCCTGCAGAGGCAAGAGAAAAGTGTATATGGTGGATAGTGCGCTATCTACTTACAGGTGAGAATACCTGGGCTCAAGGCCTGCCTCTGACATATATACTGCCTGTATGACCCTAGGTAAGTCACCTAACTTCTCAGAGCTCTAGGCAGCTCTCTTAAGACTTTAAAATTGCAGAAAAGGTGCCCACCTGAACTGAGAGTTTATCTTTACCTGGGAGGTTATCTATACAAATGAAATCCCAGGTCCAGTTCCTAACCCTATTGAGAAGCAGTGTGAGATAGTCTCAGAGTTTGGAACAGTTCAAGTCCCACCATAAATACAAAGGTGACTTATGAGAACCTCTTCTCAATGTCTTACCAGAGGTTATTTTATGTTATTTGAAGCCAATTCACATTTTAAGAGCAGATCATTTAAGCCCAAAAGCTTTCATAGGCCTTTGCTTCTTATCTCTCTGGAAAGCAATTTAATGATATCTTGTGCACAAATTTTCAGATCTTAAATCATAGCTAAAAAAAAAGCCTACCTAGTTGTGAAGATAAAGAGAAGTGACAAAGTTATGCTATTGTTTATTCTTGCCCTACAGATCTCAGGTCCCCAGAATATTAACAATCAACAGCTTTAACTTATTCTAGTATCAATAGAATATTTTTTCATATATACATAGGATCATATATTTAGAGGTAGAAGGGACCTTAGAGGCTGTGTACAGTCCAACCCCCTCATTTTACAGATGAGGAAACTGAGGCAAAGAGAGGTTAAATGATATGCCCAGGATTACAAAGCAGGTGTCTATAGCAGGATTTGAACCTAGATCCAGTGCCCCATTCACTACTAGCTGTGGGAGACAGAGAGAAGATAGAGAGAAGAGATAGTCACAGAGAGAAAACCAATTATCTAACCCTGGTTAGCTTTTACTATAGTTCATCTCCAACTGAGCTGCCCTTAATTTCCCTATTTTTATAAAACAGAGAATACCATTCCCTCAGGCTCCCAAATAACACCTCAGTCTTAAACTATACCTGCCTTTTTCTTCCTTCGTAATGTCCTTCATAATTGTCCCTTTCCATTCATTCCCCACTCTCCTGCCTTAGTTCAGACCCTCACACAATATGGTAAAAAGAACATTGGACCATATCAATCCAAAACAGCTTTCCCCTTTACTAGCTGTGTGACCTTGGGCAGGTAACAACTTCCTTGTATTTCAACTTCCTGAGTTGTAAATCAGGACATTTACCCAGCCAACTTCATAGGTCTTGTGAGGATCTAAAATAGGATGACACATATGAAAGTTCTTTGAACTGCTACCTTACTAGCCCCTCTTATCCCTTAATTTTTCCTTAGTCTAAATTCAACCTACTACCCCCATGTGGTTCTATAGTCTTTTAGGAAGATCTAATTTTAAATTTATTGCCATTAAAGGTGCTCAATTGCTTGACCCTTACTTTATATATTCTACTCTCCATTCAAAGTATATTTTGTTTCCTCAATCCCATGCCTTTATTTTTCCTGCACATCCACATACCCTACCTTTACAATCCAACTTAATGGCTACCTTCCCAGGTTGTTCATCAAAAGTAGCCTTGGTCTTTTTAGCTCCTACAAGCACTTTACTGTATAACTTAAGTCAGCATATGATATATGTATATATATCTGATCTTCCCTACTCATTATAAACCCCTTGAGCACAGAAAGCACATACTACTCATTTTTATCTCCCCTACAGTACCTAGTCTCTAATGTAATATCCTTAATTTATTTGCTGAAGAAATGATTGAACTAGTAATCAAAAGATTTTGTCTCAGCTTTGCTACTACCTAGGTGTTACCTTAGGGAAATTACTCCACTCTCAGTTTTATCTGTAAAATGAGAAGGTTGAACTACTATTGTTCATAGACTAGACTTTAAGATTCCCTTTAATCTCAAAAAGATAATTATTCAGTCTATTTTTAAATAGACATCTAATAAAAACCAAATATATAGAATGAAAAAATATATTTGGCCTTTTACGCTATCTCTTGTAATCTGGAACCAATTATGAATTCTTGCATATATTATTGATTTCCAGGCATCTGCTCATTCCAGTTTAAAATATTAAAATCCTTATGTCCAACCAGATATTTAAATACAGTTAATGATATTATCAAGTCCTAAAAATCAAGTATATAGCTAGCAAATACTAACCTTTCTTTGGGGTCCTTAATATAAGTGTCAATAAGGAGACTATACATTTCAGAATGTATGTTTTCCATAGCAATTTGAAAGCCATAGAAACAGCGAGCTTCCGTTATCTGTACTTCTTGGCTGAACCGCTCCACCTAGTGGACAAACATAGAGATTAAACACTAAGTAGACTACAACCTACCCAGCTAGCCAGGTACTAACTTGAGTATTTGACTTGCAGCTACTTAGGAATCAGTCAAGAGACCAAGATGAAATTCCAGGGCTCTTATTTTGGAGTCAGTGTTAAAGCCTAAACCCACCTACACCAGTTGGCAAAAATGCTTACAGATTGTGAAAAATTCTCCTTTTCTGAATAAAGACTTTACCTGTTTTCATGCTACTTTCTACTTTATAAGGAACTTAGGACAACATGCTGAAAACTGAAAACGCCTTTCTTCTATGGTTATTTTTTTTTTAAGATAACAGTCTAGATGCTTCCCATAAACTTACCAAATTTTCATTTACTATGCCATCACTTGCTGCAAAGAAAGCCAACACATGAGATATGAAGTATTTCTCCTCAGGCTTCATTGATTCCCAGTGCTGAATATCCTTAGAGAGATCCACCTGAATGAAGTTCAGAAGTTTAGTGTCAGGACAAAAGAAACTTAAGCTTCCCTTAGGGAGGTCTGTAAGATTTTTCTTTTTTCCTCAGATGCATATCAGTTTTAACAACTAACACCCATTCTAGTATATGTGTATCTTCAGTTCCTAAGACAGTACATTATAACTAGCAGCAGGGAGCAAGTCCAGACTTGTGATTGGCATACTGGCAGTATAGGATCAGTGCCTCTTCCTTGTCATTTATAAAGAATGGCCAGAAAGGCTCATAGGTAATTAAATGACTTTCAGTCACTCAGCTAGTATTTCAGAGGCAGGACTGGAACCCCAGACTTCTTTCCTCAATCCCAGCCCTCTACTGGGTCACAATAAAACGAAACAAAGGACTTTCAGTGCAGTGAGAAGAAGCTTAAATAAGACCATGCCAAAAAAAAAAAATTAAAATAAATAAATAAGACCATGCCTGCCTTAAAGAAATCTACAATACTAAAGAGGAAAAATTTCAAAATAGCTATAATGGGATAAGATGAATACAAGTCTCCACTTCTAAAAATGAAGTTGAAGGGATCCTTTTTCTGATAAAGGGCTACTGAAATGTAAGTTAAAGTTTAAAAGGCCCTTTTCAACAATCTTGATAGCCGGGGGTAGGGAAGTCTCACCTCCTCAGCTGTCCAGAAAGAGGCCTCTGCTTTCTTATACATGTGCCAAATGTCATGGTACTGAATGGGGAAAATGACAAAGCGCCTGGGATTCTCCTTTAGTAGTGGTTCATCTTCCTTGCGGGGGAGGGCTGGCCCATTGGGTGCTTTAGCTCTTACCTACATAAAATGGTAAATTCAAAAAAAAAAGTTCCATGAAAAAGCTTTCATAGGAAGAAGAGGAGAGGGGAATGGGAGGGTGGCGGGGGAGAAAAGAGGGGGAAGGCACGAATTTTGAATGGGAATAGAGGGGGAGCATCAAGGCGGGAAAAAGGAGAGGGAGGAGAGAAGAGGCGGGGAAAGGAAGGAGGTGGGGCGGAGAGGGAAACAGGGATTGGGTAACCAGGAAACAGCTGCTCTGAGACAAAGAAGAATTTGGCGCCAATACCGAACTCCACCGGCTTCAGTTTCTACTAACCCCACACCCTCCACTTCAACTCAGAGCTTCTTCTCCCCCCCAGCCCCCACCCCCAGCAGCCAAGGACAACTCACCGGCTCCGAGGGCTCCTGGAAAATCTTTCTCGCCGTCTTACTGGCCAGGATGCGGGTGCTATTCGCGGAGGGAGGCTGGAAAAGAAGCAGGCACAGGAGTACGCCGTGAGCCAGGGGTCAAGGAGGGGTGTCCGCCCCTGCCCCCACCTCTGGCCTTGGCTGCTCGCTCCCTTGTCCTTCTCCTGGGCCCTGGCCGCTCCAGGGCACGCCTGCGATCATGCAGACGCTCACACACACACACACACACACACACACACACACACACACATTTACACACGCGCGCACCACCGGGTTCTCCTTGTCATGCACACACTTCATTCGTTCAATAAACATTTATTAAGCGCCTACCCTCTGCCAGGCACTGTGCTAAGTGCTGGCGATTAAAAAAAGGCAAAAGGAGCACCACACACACACACACACACACACACACCATGCACACCACGCACCGTATTCTCCTTGTCTGCAAGCTTGAGCGCCTTTAGAGGTGAAAGGTGAGGTTGCTGCTGGTCGGTGACTGGGGAGAGCGGGGCGCGGGAGGACAGCATGGCGGCGGCTGGAGAGCGGACGAGTTAGGCGCGAGCAGGAACAAGCAGCAGAAGATGAGTTGGCCCGAAGCAGGTGCGGCAGACGTTCCCTGACAGGTCTGAGCTGAAGCGTTCAAAGCGACCGGCGCGCTTCTCCGACCGGCCTTATATCCCGTTCGAACTTGGCGCCCTATTCCCTTGCAGCCCAATCAATGGTGGGGGGCGAACCGATTCGCTGTCCTGTCATTGGCCCTGGGGCTGGGTAAACCCACCCCCTCCCGCTGCCATTGGTTGGCAGGGTCGCGCGGGAGATTCGAGAGAGGCTCGGGGTGGGGCAGCGTGCGCTTTCCCGGGCCTTTGAACTGACGGGGACGACTTTCTGCCTAGCGACCCGGACCAGACGTCAGAGATGCCGGGGCATTTAATTGAACCTAAGAACTGCCAAACTGCAAGGGACGTAACCCAGAAAATCGCTGCCTTCTTTGGGCTGAAAAAAGTGTCCTCTATTAAACGCCAGCGACCGGTTCCTCTTTCCACGCCCATACTTGACAATAAAAGTCTAAACTATATTAAGATCCCTGGTAAATGAGGACGGGAGGAAAAAGAATAAAAGAGAGTTTTGTTTCGTTTTGTTTTGTTTTCTCCAAAAGTAGCGTCTAAAAATCCAAGTGGTCTTCGCTTATGTCTGGAGAAACTTCCGTTTCCGATTGAGGAATTTTCCGTGAATTGCCCCTGCAGAGTAAAGCAATAGTGTGGCTTTCAGTTAAGAAATAGTCAACTTTTAAAGACATTAATGAAGTAGAATGAGCCTGAAGTCAGAAGACTTGGGTTAGAAACCTTCAGGATCAACTTTGCTTTCTGCGTGGCCTGGAGCAAGTTACTCCTTTTTTTCTAGGTTAATCCTGTTTTCTAGATCTGAGAAACTGGTAAAGTGGTAGGAGGTTGAGCCTAATGAGTCTCTAAATTCCCGCCAGGTTCTAAATGCTACTAAACTTCGGTATGACAGACAGACACACACACACACACACACACACACACACCCCTTTCAAAACTTTTTTCTTATGCCTCGTCATTCTGGAGTGGCAAAGGATTTCGAAACAGAACTTCTGAAAATGCCAGTAAACCGTGCCAAGTGAAATACGGAGTATTTCTGGCATAGAGACCTTGAGATGACCTTGAATCTGATACCTGCTAACAGTCACAAAATTCAAATTAGTCTTGGAAATCTAGAGTGAGAAAGTTGGATTTCTACTTTTTTCCTCTCAGATTCATAGATTTAGAGCTGAAAAGGAATTACTTCTCCCTTCTTTCACTCTACCCCAGACTAGAGCCCATATGTTTCTCTGAAATAAATCAGCAGATGCAGTTTGAAAATGTAATGTCAGTTTCTATTTGTCAGACTAACACAGTGCTGCCACTTGAACTGTATACTGCAGTCTCCATTCACATTAAAGGGATGGGGGGGGAATTAGGTTCATTTCGTTATTGGAACCCAGCAAAAGCTACTGAGGATAATTCCTAAGGATTGTTAAATTATCACAATTAATGTACTTAATGTAGAGTCCCAATTCAAGAAGCTGTACAAAACAGACTGCAATTTGTATTTTGTTCCCCACTGAGGACAAAGGGTGTGGGAAGGGAAGGAAGGACAAACCTTGTTTTTTGTGTGTGGTTTTTATGATTCATAGAATACTTAGTACCTTACCTTGCAAGCTAAAAAAACCCAGGCAGGACATAGAGTAAATATAAGCCAAAGCTGTGAGAAACTCCAGATATGGGAAAAAAATAAAAAAGACAAAACCTAATTTAACTTAAAGATGTCATATATTCAGACTTTCTCAGCATTATCTAAGTCTTCACCCCTAGGCCTAGAAATATACTTTTTAAAAAAACTTCTTAGATAATATCTTTTAAAGAACTATCTTCTCACAGTCCTATCAATTGTCCCAATTATAAAACAAAGCTATAGAGACTTTCCTCCTGTCTTTTGATTCTGGAAAAGAGAATGTCATTATGACAGAATCAAAGAATTTTGTAGGGATGAAGAGATTAGAGTGAAGAGATTGGACAGAGTGCTAAAGCACTGAAGTTGCCTCCTGCCTTCCCCTTCCCCCCCATTTAAAAAAAAAGTCTCCATTTATGACATGTTTCATATAACCAATGTGCCCCCAAACCACTTTCTCTGTGGAATCACCCTATTTTGTTTTAACATGTATATGTATATGTATATGTATATGTATATGTATATGTATATGCATATGCATATGTATATGTATATGTATATGTATATGTATATGTATATGTATATGTATATGTATATGTATATGTATATGTATATATAGTGTGTGTATCATAGTTTACAAAGCCATTTACATTTGTTATATTTTATCTTCACAACAGCCTTATTATTATCTTCATATGTCAGATTAAGCTACAGATACAGTGTTCTTTCCATTAAAACATAGCAGCTCCCTCAATCTTTCTTTCTAGTCTCATTCCCTTATCCTAATAGTCCAACATTCTGTCTCCATTCCCTACTTCGTAATCCTGGCTTTGCTAGACTTCCCACCTACCTGATATGTCTTCAATGTAAACTTTTCTACAATCTTTAATGCTGACAGTATCAGTTTCCTATAGCTAATAAGCAAAAATAATAACTAACATTTACATGATGTTTACTATGTGCCAGGCACTATGCTAAGTGCTTTTACATTTTTTGGGGGGGTGAGGCAATTGGGGCTAAGTGACCTGCCCAGGGTCACACAGCTAGTAAGTGTCAAGTGTCTGAGGCCACATTTGAACTCAGTTCCTCCTGACTCTAGAGGCGGTACTCTATCCATTGCCCCATCTAGCTGCCCCTACTTTTATGATTATTATATCATTTGATCCTCACAACAACCCTGGGTGGTAGGTGCTACTATTATCCCCATTTTACAGATGAAGAAACTGAGGCAGGCAGAAGTTAAGTGGTTTACTCAGGGTCACACAGCCAAGAAGTGTCTGAGGCCAAATTTGAACTCAGATCTTCCAGACTCCAGGCATAGCACTCAATTCACTATGCCATCTAGGGACCTATATACCCAAAATCCCCCTTCCAACATATGACACATATTACCCATAACCTTAATATATCCCTCTCAAAACATTGCTTTTTGCTTTATTTATGCGTACGTGTTGTATCCTGTCCCTCTCTCCAGTTGACTAAAAGTTCCTTGAGAACAGAAACTTTCATTTTTTGTTTTTATATGCCCAGAACTTAGTACAGTACCTGACACGTAGTAGGCACTCTACTCAATATTTATTAAATCACCCAAAGATAAAACAAAACTACTCCTGCCCTCAAATTTACAGTCTTTCCTTTAAGAGACTGATTTTAGAGTATGCACAATAACCACCTCTATTAGATCCAGAAGATGAGATTTAGGAAAAAGTTCTCTCTTAAGCTCTAGATGCCCATCACCAACTGTCTTCTGGAAAGCTCCACCTTTATGAGCCATGAAAATGTGGAACTCAACTTAAGGAACATAGGAATCCTTATCTTATTCCTTCCCTAAACATGCTCTTCCTTTTAACTTCCAGATTCTGTTCAAGGTGCCACAATGTTTTCAAGCACCCAAATCATCCTCAACTCTTCCCCAAATCCCCCCAACTCTTCTTGATTCTATTTCTTCAGCATCCCTTATATCTTTCCATCCCCATCTCTCCACTCACAATCATCCTAAAGAGTTCAGACCTTCTTCATCACATCTGGCCTCCTACTTGGTAAACCTGCTTCAAGTATCTAGAAGACATAGCAAAATGAAAAAAAGAAATCCCTGGCTCTGGAGTCAGTTGCTGTTGTTCAGTCGTTTTTCAATGGTGTCTGGTTCTTCTTGACCCCATTTGGGGTTTTCTTGGCAAAGATACTAGAGTGGTTTGCCATTTCCTTCTCTGGCTCATTTTACAGATGAGGAAACTGAGGCAAACAGAGTTGAGTGACTTGCCCAAGGTCACACAGCTAGTAAGTGTCTGAGGCCTGCAGAGACATGCTTTTGAGATCCAGAAGCCAGAAACAGGGCCAGGAGGGAAATGAAGGCCAGCCTTGACCTCTTCACAAAATGGAGACTCAGGGAAAAACTCACCATTTAATTCAATCCTCTCACTTTTTTACATATGAGGAAACTAAGGTCCAGAGAGGTGGCTTGCACAAGGTCACACATGTATTAAGTGATAGAGGTTAGATATGAACCCAGGTCCTCTGACTCAGCATTCAGTGTTCTATACAGAGGCATCAAAGGGGTAGAGTGATAGCTCAGGAGTCAGGAAGATTTGAGTCCAAATTTGGCCTTAGACACTACCTGTGTGACTCTCAGCAAGTCACTTAATTTCTGTCTGCCTCAGTTTCCTCAACTGCAAAATAAGGATAATAACACCTACCTCTCAGGTATCAAATGAGGATCAAATAAGATAATATTTATGAAGTGATTAGCTTGGTGCCCGGCATATTAAGTAGGTGCTTAATAAATGTTTGTTTCTTTACTTTATACTATGCTATAACAACAAACTCTTATTAGGTACTTAGTAGGTAAAGAGCACCCCCGTCAGATTCTGGAAGAAGTACAAAGTTTAGATAAAATACAGTCTCTCTCTTCAAAGAACTATTTAATTTAATTCATCAAGCATTTAGTAAACTCTAGACAAAACCTCCCAAAACAGTTCCTGCCCTTAAAGGAGCTTACTACACTATATTGACAGGAAATAACAGGTACATAGATTCATAAATACAAAGTATGTGAAAAGTAAATACAAAGTAATTGGATAGGGGGTAGAACACACTAACAAAGGTGGGAATCGGGAAAGGACTCCAGTAAGAGGTGAGCCTTAAAGGGAACCAGAGACTCCAAAGAGGTATGTTCCATCTCCCATCACAGAGCTGGCTGTCCCCCATGATCTGCCCCTCACTGACCTCCAATGCTTAGAATCCTTGGTTTCCTTCATGACCCAGCTCAAACCCCACTTTTTTACAGGAAGCTTTTCCCAGTCCGCTCAGACGCTGGAGTCTTTGCCTCTGGTCTACAGCAACTTTCCATCTACTTTTTACGTATCTTACATATAACTAAATCATTGATACATTGTGGCCTAGTGGATAGAGTCAACTTGGGAGCCAGAAAACTTTACACTTCAGACATCAGATAGCTCTGTGACCCCCAACAAGTCACCTAATTTCTCAGTGTCCTGTGCAACTCTCTAAAATTATAAATTGTATAAGAAGTGCTGACCTGTACTATTAGTCCCTGCCTCCAGGTCCCTATTTTTTCCTTGTTGATTCTCCACTAGAATGTAAGCGTTATGAAGCCAGACACTGTTTTTGCCTTCTTTGGTATCACTTAGCACTTAGCCCAACGCCTGGCAATTAGTAAGCATTTAATAAATACTTGTTAATTCATTGATAGCATCCCTAGGCTCGTAGGATCATAACTCCTACCCTCTCATTTTATAGATAAGGAAAAGAAGGCCCAGTTTCATTAAGTGACTTAACTATGTGATATAGCCTACGTGAAGGCATGTATTCCTCCAGCTCCAAGCTATGGGTACCTCTACC